TATAAATAAAAATTCATAAAATAAATAGTTTGAATGAACAATGTTACTTTCGTATTGACTATTTAGAGGACACAATAATTACACCGCTTTGTGGTTGTCATTTGGTGGATGAAAATAGTACGGTATGGGTCTATTATGCGAAAAAAGCTTCATACCCCCACTGGGGGTCGACCCCCAGTGAGGTGTCGGCTCCGGATTGGTCCAAAAAAAAAATTATTATTTTTTTTTTTTAAGTTTTCAGCCAGTGGGGCGCCACGTCACTGGGGGCGCGACCCCCACTGGGTGTATGGATCACGGCTGTATACAAAATAACTATCAATTACTTTAGAGACAAATACAATCTAAGTTAAAAGATTACAATTGTCGAATCAATTTAATTTTTTTAATAAATTATACAAATGAAAGGTCCTATAAAATAAAAGAATTGAATTATGAAAACAAAATTCATTATTAATTTTATAAATTTGTATTTGAACTTGGAAGAAATTGAAGTATGATTAGTCGATGAAAGAAAACAACCATGGTCTATATTCAAGTGCTCATTCCAACACCCAATATAGATGACAGAACATGTAAATGAGAGAGAGAGAGAGAGAGAGAGAGAGAGAGAGTCTTTCCAGAGACAGAATCACAACATTCAGCTAGTACTCAGTGTCACTCAGTCCAGAGAGAGAGAGAGTCTTTTTAAGTCATCATTTTTTTTATTCTTTTATATATTTAAAAAAATAAAAAAAAATTAAAAATCAATTTTTAACCTATTTCTCAAAACAACCTATTGTACTATGCCATAAAAATGAATCTTTAAAGTTTCGTTTGAAAAGTGGATAGTTTTTTAATTTTTTAATATTTTAACTATTTAAATTTAAGCTAAAAAATTTCATTTAGATTAGACTTTTTAGCCTCCGTTTGAGAAGTGGGTTGACTTTTTGACTTTTTAGCTTTTTTGGCTATTTGAGCCTGGGCTCAAAAGTTTAGTTTGGGAAGGACTTTTTGACTTTTTAGCTTTTTTGGCTATTTGAGCCTGGGCTCTCCGTTTGAGAAGTGGGTTGACTTTTTGACTTTTTAGCTTTTTTGGCTATTTGAGCCTGGGCTCAAAAGTTTAGTTTGGGAAGGACTTTTTGACTTTTTAGCTTTTTTGACTTTTTTTGTGAGAGAAGAGTATAATGATTATAGGTTGAATGTGATGTTTTATCTATTATGGCTCAAACAACTTATTTTGTCTTTTGTGAATCAAAGAGTCAAAAGAGTCCAAATAAATTCTTCCCAAACGGGCTCTTAAAGCTATTATTTTGAGATGGGATAAATACTTTTAATTCTCTTTTTTCTTATTGAAGCAAATGCTTGACACAAAGGGGAGTCCATCAGCCAAATATGGCTCACGTGATATGACAACTTTATTTTAATTGTGGAAAAGTTAATTAGAGGGAGGCTATGATGAGCTGTTAAGAAATTCAAAGATTGATTTTCGTCAAACCCTTTCTGCAAGTTATTTTAATATTGACTTGTTTTAGGAATAGATTCAAAAGTTAATTTTTAAATTTTTAATTTTTTTTAAGTTATATTATTTTTTTAATTTTTTATATATATTTTTAAAAAAATTCAAAAAAAATAAAAAATTAGTTTTAACATACTTCTCAAAACAACATTGTGCTATTCCATAAAAATGAATGTTTAAATTTTCATTTGGAAAGTAGCTGGTTTTTTAATTTTTTGACTATTTTAACCTTCGTTTGGCATGCGAGTTGACTTTTTAACTATTTTAGCCTAGGGTTGTTTGGAATGAGCTTTTTGACTTTTTAACTTTTTTGACTTTTGTGGAAAAAAAAATGATTATGGTTTGAATGTGATATTTTATCTTATTGACTTGTTAGCTTATTTTGTTTTTTTGTAGCTATTTTTACCCAAATGTGGTATGCCAATCATAGTCTTAGTCTTTGCTAAAAAGTTTTATTTGGGTTAGACTTGTTGATTTTTTTAACTTTTGTGAAAAAAAAAGTAAAATAATTATGATTTAGATATGATATTTTATCTTATTGACTTCTTAGTATATTTTATCTTTTTATAACTATTTTAGCTTTTTAACCCCAAAAACTAACATCCCAAATGAAGACAAGTATTTATTTGTGTAAAATTTAATACAAATTGAGATTTATTTATAATAGTAATACATATGATGTTAAATAAATTTTCAATACTTAGTGGATATTCTGAATTAGCCTTTCAGTTTTTTTGTTTTTTTATAATGTTTCTTAATGAATTTTTTTGTTTAAAATTTTAAAAAATAAGAATTTTGGGTTTACTCAACTAGATAATTCAGAAAAGTAACGTTTAAAAATTAAAAAAAAATAAAAATTCACTAAAGACAATATATATAACAGTTGGCTTTTGTAATTCTTTCTTTTTTTTAGTGACTTTTTTTATTTTTTTATTTATTTATTTTTACCTATTAGATTTTTCTACACTAGATGGAAAAGTAAAAGATTTTGACAAAAATTCTTTTTAAAAAAATCACTAAGACTATGTTGGAGTATGAATTTGGATAGAGATTTGAAAAGGAAATGAGAAAATGTGTGAAATGTATGTGATATATAACTACATTTCATTCACATTTTATCTATTTTTTATTTTTAAATTCTTATACAAATCCATAATCCAAAAATAGCGTAAAGATAAAATAAAATAAGTGAATTTTTAACTGGTTACCAAATGACACCTTACTTTATTTTCCTAATTGTGTGTATACTGGAAAATACTTACATGTATTTGAATTATGAATTTATAAAAAGGAATGAAAAAGGAAAAAACATTATATTGCATTTATATTGCTTTTTTGTTTTTTGATTCCCTTTCCAAATATATACTTAAATTCATAATTAAATACAAACTTATGATATGTTTGTTTTAATTTAATAAATTAGAATAGAATAATTATTTCATCAAAATGTCTATTTCGAAATTTGATTACTAAAATCATTATTAAAAAAAAAATGATCATTCCATTATTGACACTAAACAAAATAAAATTTGATTATATTAATATTTCAAAAGTACACTAAAAAGTAAGATAAATCAAATTTGGTATAAAAGAAAGTCTATAATTTATCTTATATTTTTTAATGAAAGGAAATTAAATTTTGGGTAAATTACTAATAGATGGTGATAGTTGGACTTAATTTTCACTAAGTTCTATTTAAAATAAGTCATAGTAAAATCGTCGCAAAAAATAATTTTTTGTGATGATTTTTTACATATGTCACTAAAAATTAATAATTATCAATTTTTTTTGTCACAATTTTTATAAATTATAACTAAAACTTACAATTAGCGACACTACAACAAAAATAATCTATGGTGACGAAAAGTAGTGAAGAAAATAAATTTCGTCATTAAATAAGAATAATCCGTGACAAATTATTAAATTTTGTCACGTATAATAAAAAGTAAAAATAATAGGTGACGAAATTTGTTTTCGTCAACAAATACTTCTTTTTAGGTGAGGAAAAAATTAAGTTTTGTCACTGAAGGTTTTCCTGCTAATTTTTTTTTTTGGTTGGCGTCAAAATTTGAGACTTTTGGTGAGAAATTTTTTTGTCACCAATTATAAAATTATTAGCGAGGAATATATTTTCGTCACCAATAATTTTGTATATATATTTTTTGAGAAACTTGATTTTAAATATTTTAAGACCATTTGGTGAGAAATATATTTTTGTCACTAATAATTTTTAATATTTTGAGACTTTTTAGTGAAGAAATTTTTTTGTCACCAATTTTGGAGGAAAAATTTTGACATATTGGGCGGTAATGGAAAAAATAGACAATTAACTTTTTTTCCCTTTTTATTTTTGTTTATCAATCTCTCTCTCTCTTCTCTCTCTCTCTCACTCAAAACAAAACACAAGTTAATTAACTCTCTAAACCTATGGTGACGAAAAGTAATGAAAAAAATATTTTGTCACTAAATAAGAATAATCCGTGACGAATTATAAAATTTTGTCACATATAATAAAAAGTAAAAATAATAGGTGACAAAATTTATTTTCGTCAATAAATACTTATTTTTAGGTGAGGAAAAATTAAATTTCGTCACCAAAGATTTTTCCTCTAATTTTTTTTGGGTGCCACCAAAATTTTGAGACTTTTAGTGAGAAAAAAATTTGTCACAAATTATAAAATTATTCGTGAGGAATATATTTTTGTCACCAATAATTTTAAATATTTTTTAAAAAAATTAATTTTAAATATTTTAAAACTAGTAATGAGAAATATATTTTTATCGTCAATAATTTTAATATTTTAAAATTTTTAATGAAAAAATTATTTTATCACCAACCAATCTTAAAGGGAAACTTTGAGATTTGGCGGTAATGAAAAAAAGGAACCCCACTAATTCTCCCCACCCCTTTTTTCCTTTTTTTTGGTGCTCCAGTTTTCCTCTCATCCCTCTCTTGCAAAACACACAAAGGTATGGCCTCTCTCTCTCTCGCTTGTAGTTGTTTAATGGTGGGGTAAGGGTTTTCAGTAACATGGTGGCGCTGTGATGGGGATGGAATGGTGTAATGGAGGTGCGGTGTGAGAGGAGGAGGGCTAGCGATGGTATAGTAGGGGGGCACTACAAAAAATTGCAGTTTTAGAAACTACTTTTGGCGACACTATCAAAATTGCATAGCTAAAATATCATTTTCGCGACGTAAAAATCATTTTCATCGCTAAAAAGGTTAACATTAGCGATGTGATCAACAAGTCGTTGCTAAAAAGTCAAATATAAATTAGGCGCCTAAAAAAAATTAGCGCTCCAACATGAGAAAAGGTTTAGCGATGATCAATGAGTTTCAGTGACAAAACAGTCCCTTGCTATTAGTATAAGAGTTATGGCGACGTAGATGACACGTTGGCAAAGGTTTAAGTCATTAACGACAAATGTGCTTTAGGTCGCTGTAGGTTTTATAATAGCTGATGTATTTATATTTACTGAAACATTAAAACTGTGCCGTTTTGGTACTAACCTTAAAACTGTATAAAAAAATCCCTAATATTTTTTCTGTAAACCTCCACTTCTCAGCGAGGTAACGCCCCATCTTCCCTCCATGTTCTGTGTCACAGTCACATCCGATGGTCTCTCTCACAATCGCTGCCGCTAGTTCTCTAACCGGCGCTGCCATTGTTGTCGATTCACTTATTTCTGTAAGTTACTCTCTCTCACCACCATTGTTCTCTCTCTCAATTTCTAATCCCTAACTTATTTGAAAATAAGAGTTCCCTGCTATTATCTGAAAAAATTTCGTCAGTTCCCAAAGTTTCAAAGGAAACCTCTTCTAATTATTCTTTCATTCTTTGATCATTAACAATTTAATAAGAAAGGGAAAGGAAACACGATGGGTTAGAGAGAGAGAGTCTGCCTTCTCTCTAGAAACTACCTCAGTTTCTAGGGTTTGTTCATTCAATATTTCATTGATGATGGATGATTACTCATCTAATCTACACGACTTAGCTACGATGGGTGATGAACTAGTGATTGAAGGTACTACTACACCTAAGTGGAGTTCGCACATCTTTCGGATAGTCTTTCGGATAGTGATTTGTTAATTTTGATGGACATCGCGAAGAGAAATGGGGGTAAGAAACATTGTTCTGTATTTGATATCGAGATGGGTAGGAGCCCTAAGGCTTCGATTGGGGTTGAGTCTGAGATCCATAGTCCAAGTTTTTTTGTTGACGCTATGGGTGGTCTCTACTCTAAGGTTCGAGAGATGAATGTTATTCAGCTCCACATTAAAACAACAGGTATATACTTTTTTCTCAAGAGATGTCTAATGCTTTGATAAATTTGAGTGATTGATTAATGCAACAGACTCATAAGGATTCAGATTGATTAATTGTTTTTCTCTTTTCTCTAGTTTGCTTCGAATGATTTTGTGGATCTTATTGGCTATTGGGCATAGTTTATGGGTTTTGTTGACTTTGGTTATGTATATATGTAAATGAATTGTGTTAATTTTTTGTTTGTACATATATATTTTTGGGAAATTCTGGAATACATACCCCTATTTTGAGGTATTATATTCAAGATAAGATATTTTGTGGTGTTAATATTATTTTGATACTCTTGATTTTGGTTAGGCATAGAGAATTGAAAGAATCTCACATTAGAAAAGTACATCAGGAAGATGGATTTGCTACTTCAAAACTATTTCATGTTGACAGAGAAAAATTAATGTACGTAATTATTGTGAAGAACAAAACTAATAATTTTTTGCAGCTGATCAGAGACCTGCCCAAGGCATTGAGCTTTACTTTACATGCCAGTTTGTTACAAAGAGTTTGATCTGTAGGGTATGTCTGATGTGCATCACAATCATATTAAGATTGATTACACAACCACGTTCGTGGGGTAATTTGAAATTTCTTTTCTTTTCCTTTTTTTCAAAGAAGAAAAAGAAAAGATGCGGATGGGAAAGGGTGGTCAAAACAATGGTTTCCCTACTAAGGAAAAATGTATGGCAGTGATACCATCACATCATTATTTTGGTATGTTTAATTTCAGTGCATCATATCATTATTTTTGATCTGTTAAGCTTACAGGGCACTAAACAGGATAAGATATATACAATCAGCAATGGAGTTTATAAATCTATGATATCTATCCACTGATAAGCACTTGTATCCATTGAAATGATTAAAGAAAAAATGAAAGCAGAAGCCAAATGCACAAAGAATAATCAGGCGTTATCTGCTTTTACTTTTAATTTCTAGGCAGGTGAAGGCATTATCTGCTCTCTCAATCAATAAATAGATTTTTATTTTTAATAACTACTCATGTAATTGTAATCTTAACCCCTCTTTTTCGTGAAGAGGCTGATTCTCATCACTCAAACCTTCGCTACTGGGCTGGGGGTGGATAACACTTGCCAGCATCAGGTTACGACAACCAAGTGCATTATTGAGGCCGAATTTTTATTTCAGACAATGTTCTCTGCTCATTTCATCTTTTTGAAGTTACATGTACCTGCTTTCTATGTGATTCTAACATTAGTGATATACTTTATTGAAGTTGTTTGTAGGCCTTTTGAACTTTTGGAGCGATTCCGGATGTATGAATTTTCTGAAGGAACCCTGCATCCATTTGAATGCACACAAAGTTAATCGCATCCTTATCAATTGCATAGGTAACTAATAAGCTAATTACAAACTGTTTTCTATTATATTATTTTGTTTTATGAAAAATACCTTTCCTTTTTCTTTTTCTCCTCAGAAAAAGGCCATCTAGTGGGACTCAAAATGTGTCTTGAATTTGTGATGAAGAGTTCCATGCTAGGTTCATATCTCAATTTCCACGACCAACCCAATTTCAATTGATTATTTATGTGAACACTTATTACCTCTATGAGAATGGGTTGTTTAGGTGAGCATTTGTAAGTTACATTAACTAATATATAATTCTAGGAGTGACTAATATAATACAATTACCTGAGCAGTTATTACATAAGAGAAACAATTAAGGTAATGTTTGGTTCATTTAAATTTTTAGTTATGTAAATTAAATAAGTAAATCAATCATGTTGGTCCAACCCAAGAATTGCAGGATCCTAAACATTGGAGACAAGATAGGCCTTAAGTTCTAAGTGGGAAGATATAATATGGCAAAAGACATCTCAACATTGGGCCCATAATTGCTTTCTTTTGGATCTGATATTCTCCAATTGTGATCTCTAGGATTGAATGCATCAGTCTGAATATCGCTTGGGTAATCATGCTATGCAATTCTATTAATCCTAATTCATTTAGGATCATTTGTAATATCTGTTACATAGTTCAACATTCACCCTGTGTAATTTTAGTAATGAATTGAGTTATTGATAAAAGAAAAAAAATTACCAAGAATGTCATAGCGAAGCATAACCCAAAACTTTGCCAAACTATTTTAAGCATTGATGATGTGTGGTTTTTATCTTATTAATTGACATCTTTCCCTGTATAAATGCAGTGAAGAAATGGGTAGATGGTAAAGCAGAGAATTACCAAGAATATCGCAATGAAACTGAACTTTTCATTTTGAATTTTACTGATGATAATTTTGGATCTTAATGTTACTGAATTTGATTCATTAGTGCCTGTGTCAGGCACAAATGACAACTAAACAAAGGGATCCATGGTGCCATAGTTCAAGACTCATTTCGTATAGCCTCTAGTCTATATCTGCTCTAGTTATGGAAGATATGGGGGAGTAGCATTCCTTTGTTCCAAATGGTAGTAATTTCATTAGTACTACTAGAAAACATGAATTTAGAGTGTTTTATTAAGCAATGAATCACCTTGGTTAAAATTTATGTTGGTGTACCTAAAAACTAATTGTTGGAATCTATTTGGATTGCCGTATTGTCTTTTTTGGAGTCACTTGAGGAGCATTTGGAGATGACATCAAGCATAATGGGGTTTCTTAAGAAGCAAGGTTTCAAAGGACAATTTAGAGGAGGAGGTATTCCATGAACTCGTACATCGCCTTTTGGTAAGTCTCGATTGTTTTATCTTTTTATTTTTCTAATGTTGGTTAGTATATACTAGTTAAAGTACAACAGTTTAACTATTTATTAACTAAGATGTAACAAGTTTGAAGATGTATTTAATGAAAATAGATTCATTATCAAAATTCTTACTTAGCATGACCCTAGTTAAAATACACACTAACCAAAGTAGAGACAAAACTATGTGTTTACTTTTTTGTGTATTTTTGCTAGGCAGTGTTGGAGTTACTCTAAGTTAGTGATGTGATTAATAATGGGTGTGTCTTTGATTGAGTTTTTCACTGTAGAAGAAATGAAGGAACATTTATTGAGTCTCAGGCAGTGGGTTAGTCAAGTTTGTATATTACTTTATGATTGCTGCTGCTTTGTATATATCATTAGGATGGTTTAGCATAATAAGGACTTTTAATAGATTGATCCATTTGAAGGTTTTCCCTATACTCAACTTAGTGAAGCCACATTTCAACCACTTTGTCCTAGGTAAAGAAGTCTTTTCTTAAGATCATGTGCTTTCTCACAACTTACATTCATATCTGTTGGTCTATCTCTTGTTCTTGAGGCTTCAACTTCTCCCTCTTAGTGGTGTTGTCCTTATTATTTGACACAAACATTCAATTCGTGTTAGCCAACCAATCATATATTGTCTTCATTGTGCTCTATTGGACTATATAAGAAGCAAAAGAGGAATATTTAGCCAACTTTTTTTTACCTAGTGTTAGCTTGAGTTGCATATCCTGACACCCACAAAAAGGGAGGTGCAGAATTCAACTCCCTGTTAGGAGACACTCTATTAGAAAAGAATTAATCTTTGCAATTCAGTTTCCAAGACTTGCTGTTGTCATTTTGCCTCAGATAAATTTATTTGCACCTTATTTGTGTAAGATTCCTGTTCTTTAAAATGTATACAAATAAATATATAAATAATATTAGCCAAAAGCAGCCAAAATTAAAAACCAGAGAGTCAAAAAAAATCATGAGCATGTTTATAAATAAAAAATAAAAAATCACATTGATTCCTTACTAAAGACAATTTGATCAATGCTTTTGTTGGGTACAAATTCATAAACAAGAAGGCATTGAGGGGCTTCAATGGTACAACCCAAAAGTCTTACAAGGTTCTTGTGTTGAATTCCACTGATCAAAATATTTTGAGAGAAGTTGTAGGTTTTTGTATGTAAATTGCTGACAGACTGTTTATAGATTCTTCTGGGAGTGAGCAACTATAGGAAACATTTGGTGTTTTTTTTTTTATTTTTTATTTTTTTAACTAAATGAAATATGTGTTTTGACTTATTTTGTGAAGATACACCTATTTTTGTAGAAATTTTGCAATGACTCTTGACTGAATTGTTGCTTTTGGTGCAATATATTGATCACTTGTTTCGAACAATGTAAATAAGAGCTAAGGGAATTTTATGGTTGACACATTGTGCAGAAAAGCTGTTAATCTGATATGAGAAGTTAGAGATTTTTATTGGATCAATTGTTAAGAGGCTTTTGCTTTATAGGAAAGACCACTTTACACATTAAGAAAAATATGCATATTTTATTTTTTGACTATGATTTATTATGATTGGCATGCAAAAGTTTGATTGTTGATTTTTAACTTGTGAGAGAGAATTAGATTTGGTGGTTGTTTTCAAAGATTAGAACCCAACATGCATGAAAAACCCATTGTCGTGAATCAAATGTACCTCAATGCTACGTTATATTTTGGAGCTATTATATATATATATATATTCTGCCATTAGTGATAGTGATATATGGTATTCTTGTAATCTTTTGGCATCTTATGTTATCCGTGTTACTTTATCATCCAGGATCATCTCAACTCTTTGAAGTTCTGATTTGTTAGATGCATTTCTACTAAATTGGTTTATAAAATAAAATTATTTATATATGAGTTTAGATGTAATTGATAATATATTAATGTTTTCTTTGTCTATTTTCTTTGCAGATTGGTTTTTGATGACATTTGAAAGTATACTTGCAAAGGAAGATCAACTGTTGAATTTTGTTTCCTGAACTGATACTTAGTTGTAGTTGCAAATCAAGATTGAGTGTTGATTTTTATTTTTTTATTTTATTTTATTTTATTTTTTTGTGGATTCCACGTTAGTTCATTTTGGGATTTGCTTTGGTAGTTTTTTTGTTAGACTTAATGGTTTATATTATTAAAGTTGTTTGATGAATATATTTTGATTTATAATATAAATTGTTTATTGATTTTTTTTTGTAGAGTGATGTATAATAGCCAGTGATTTCTTAGTACAATTAAAAGACTATTGAGATATGAGCAGGAATATTTGTGAAATAATAATTAAAATTGAAATATAAAATATGGAACAGGTTTAGTGACGAATTTGTTTCGTCTTTTGTACTTATTATTATCACAAAGTGATTATTCGTCATTAATAAATATTTTTTGTGACAAAATTTATTGTAGCGCATATATGGAAGTTTTCATTGATTTTGTTGTTTGGTAACGAAATATATTTCGTCACGTATATAAATATATTTGCGACGAAATATATTTCGTCACCCATGTATGACTTTTGGAGACGGAAAATTGTCACCTTTACATCTTACTGTGACGAAATTATTTCCTCATCAATGATCAACATTTGTGACAAATTTATTTGTCAACTAAAATTATAAATATGGTATTGAATAATTATTTGGTGATGAAAATGAGAATTTTTGGCGACAAAATCTTGTTTTATTGGTGATAAAAAATTTTGTCACTGAACTAATTTCATTGGTGACGAAATTATTTTTCGTCATGGTGGTTTTTAGTGACAACATTCAATGACGAAGCTGGTGACGAAAATATTTCGTCACAAATATCTATAGTGACGAAATTAGCTCTTTCGAGAAAAAAAAATTTCGTCATTCAAGACCCAACTTGTTGTAGTGCGATGTTTTTTTATGACAAAATTTTTAAACTATCGCTGAAAATCGAAAATTAGCATTTTTTTAAAAATTGTTACTAAAATTTATAATTACTGATATTTTTTATGACAAAATTTTTAAATTATCGTTGAAAATTAATAATTAGTGACGTTTTTTTAATAATATTTGATGAAAAATATCATCAATTATTATAAGACGTATTAGATAATAAATTCACCTATTACGACCTACACGTAAGTCTTTCGTAATTTTTTTTTAATAAAACTAAAATAACAAAAAAATAAAAAGTCTAATTAAATAACTATTTAAGGTAACTTTACCCTGCTACAAATACTCTAAAGAGAAAAATATTAGGGAACTTAAATGTTTTGCCAAATGTCTTACATGAATGTGAAATTCACATCATGTAAGTCACAAACTAATATAAGACATTTGATAGAACTTTTGATAAAACATTTAAATTCCTAACATTACTCTTGTAAAGTCCACACAACCTCGCCATTGTCCGAACGAGTAAGAGCATCTCAACGGTGTATCAATTTTTTCACCAAATTTGAGTAAAAACTTCCTTTGATATCAAGTACTTCAACAGAGGATTTTGGAGCTTCATTACCGATCGATCAGGCTGACAACCGGGAGGATGTCCAGCCAGTCGACCGATCAGTGTAATTTTTTTTTTTTTTTCTTTTGCATTTAGGCGCTCGATTGGGAGGACGACCGGGCGGTTGACCGGTCAGTGTAATTTTTTCACTTTTTTTTTTACCTTGAGGTGGTCGTCCTGAAGGATATCTGAGGGATATTTGGCAACGATAATGAACAGTGATTTGATGAAAGGCACATTGATCGTCAGTTTGATTAAAAAGAAAAAAAAGGTGAAAATTTCAATCTGATACCTATTTAATGCAACTGTTAAAGCAAAAAAAAGACATTTTTTCTTCAAATTTAAATCTGATGAAAGGTTTAAGTAATCATTGGACATTGTCTAAAGACAGAAAAAATACGCGTAGCGGACCAATCGCGTGGGTCCCACTAGCCGAACTCTGTATTCCCACTACCATGTGAACACTCAAACACTAACAAAATAGGTGCCGTTTGGTAACACTTATGTTTTCAGTTTTCTGTTTATATTTACAAAAATTTTAAAAATTCAAATAAAAACTTGTTTGGGAAATTTTTGATTTATAAATCAGTGGTCTCAGTTTATAAATTTGGCCAATAAATGTAAACTAAAAAAATGTGTTTCTGTTTTGAGTTTTGAGTTTTTTTTTTTTTTACCACCCAACACTAGTCCCCACCCGCCACCATTTTCTACCACCGTCTTCCACCACCCCCACCCCCCCCCCACCACCTACCCCCTACAAACTTCCATTTTTACCCTCACTTACTCACACACCCCTCACTCACGATATTCATCTCCCTCCTCCATTCTCTGTTCAAACCAGTGAACACCATTGCTCAAAACATTGGTTTTCTTATCAAAGACGTCGTCGGTGGTGCTCAACACAGTTGGAAACAACTTCACATTAGAGATTTAGTAGGTGAGTTCTCATTTGGCTTAGATTTTAGGATTTTATGTACTTATTTCCATTGCCATGAAATTTGTATTTGAATGAATCATTTTCCTGTTCGACACTGGATTTTCAAACCCTAAACATTTAACATTCGTTTGACACTTGATTTTCGAAAAATAGCATTTTGTACGTTTGCTATTATCGAACAGAGCGTCTCTATTCTCGATCTCAATGTTCAGAACTTCTTGGATGTCTCTTCCGCTACACCGCCGCTGAAGCCGTCTTCGGAGTCTGTCTCGGTCAAAATCTCATGCTTTGAATCGGTCGGTCTCGATCCCTGAACTTCATTCTTTATTCGCTTCTTGATTTATCATTGCTGTCTCTTATTTCTATTGATTTTTTGAGTTAAATATTAGATGATGTATATATATATATATACTAGCGTATGTCCGTGTCTGAAGGCACGGTGTAAATAATATTGGTACACATATTTATTTTTAAAAAATTTTAAACTTTTTGTCAATTACCAAACGCGTTTGCAGTTTATGTTTTTCTAAAAATAAACAAAAAATAAATAAAAATCAGTTTATAAAATTTTTATAAATATAAACTGAAAACGTAAACGTTACCAAACAGACCCACAAAACAAAAACAAAAACAAAAATTGCAAATCCAATTCTCTCTATTTCTAGAGAAATAGAGAGAAACAAAATCCACTGCTCCGACCGCTGGGCTTGCTTTTATACACACAATTTCAATTCTCATATACATATAGATATACATATACATATACATATACGTATATATATAGAGAGGGAGAGAGAGATATTATTTATGTATATATTTTTAGTTTTTAAATCTAATTCTAAAAATAATAAATAAAAAAGATGATATATATTAATTGGTTTTTATTTTTAAAAAAAGATATAGATATAACAAAATAGAGACCTTTGTTTATGGTTTTGATAGTTTAAATTATTTTTATATTTTAAAAATCACATATTATAATACTTTATGTGGATGAGGTATAGTGTAATTTTAATATGTAGATGAGACATGCAGTATTTTTAATATTTTAAAATTTCAAACTTTCTTTATATAGATGAGGTGTGCAGTGATTGTAATACTTTTTTAAATCATTAATTGTAATAATTTTTTTCTATAGAAAGTACATAAATTGAATTATATTAAAAATTTATAAAATTTTAAACTATCAAATTAATTCACAACTATCCGTCAATCCGCACAATTCACATTCACTAAATTAACGAATATATATAGATTGATTTGTTTTAATCCGTGTGATGAACAGATGATAAATTAAAGGTTCGGTGGCCGCTGACCGCGTCCACCCCTAATCTAAAGGCAGAAAACATACGCGGGCCGGACCAGTCGCGTGGGTCCCACTAGACGAACTCTGTATTGCCGCTACCATGTGTTCCTCACACACTAACGAAACAAAAACAAAAATTGCAAATCCCTCTCTCTCGCTATATGTCTCTCTCTGGAAAAATCTATAGAGAGAAACAAAATCCGCTGCTCCGGCCGCTGGGCTCGTTTATACACAGTTTCAATTCTCATATACATACATATATATATATATAGAGAAAATTCCAAGGTAAGTGGCCAAATGATAAAATCTAGAGGATAAAATTTACGGGTTTCGAGTTTTCACAGGTCTCAAGTTCGAGTCATCCCTTGGGACCACTGGAAGTTTGTCCGGTCGTTAATTTCAAGACTCTCAGGATTAGTCCTGGCTTCCCTTAAAATCAACAGGTTCGAGATACCTAAGTTAAAAAAAAATATATATATACATAGAGAGAGAGAGAGAGAGGGGTATCTGACAATGTCCTCATTTCCGCGGGCGTCTCCGTCTCGGAAATCATTACCAGTTTCCATCACCAATTCACCACCATCACTTGACACCATCAGCAGTTCACGAACTCGGGCGGTGACAATCACTACCTCGCCAACACCACTTCACCACAACGACCGGCTGGTGTCTACTACTCCACCTCTATCCACCACTCCCACACCTCCAAACGACCCCACTCCCACACCTCGTAACGATCCTATATCCATCACTCCCACACTTCCTAACGACAGGCTGCTGTTGAGCCCAACATCTCCGGCGCCCGCTTATTCTTCTTCTCCATCACCACCTCCTGTTGCTCCGGTCCCGCCGGCGCCGTCTACTACTCCTCCAAACTCCTCTCCTTCGTCGCCAACTTCTTCTTCACCTCCTTCGCCGTGGGGTTTCTCGCCGCCACCTCCGGGGACCACAACGTCATCGCCGCCTCCGTCGTCGAGTAAATCAACAGGGCTTGTTGTTGGGATTGTGATTGGTGGTGTAGTGATTCTTGTAATTTTGAGCATTTTGTTCTTATGGTGCAAGAAGAAGAAGAGAAGAGACCATGATGACTATGTCCCACCACCACACGGGCCTAAAGGTAAGAGACCTTTTATCCGTTCTACTTATTGTCCTTTCTTATCTCACCAAGGATCCTCTAGAGTGAAATTTTCCTAAAATTTCCTAAAGTGCTACATTGTGTGGTTGAAATTTATTGGCAAGTCATATCAGAAAAATTGATATGACTTGCCAGTAAATCTCAACCACACAATGTAACACTCTAGGAAACTTTAGAGAAAAATCACTCTAGAGGATCTTTGCTCTCCTTATCTTGTCATGTGTTCAAATTCCCCTGAATTTCTGTCATTTTCCCCATTTTCCCCATGCATTGATGATTATAAAAAATAAAAAAAAAACTTTTTGCTTGGTTACACTTTTCTAAAAACACTTTTTAAAAAATTTTATTTTCTTATTTTTTACATTTTCTTATTTTTATTAAATTTTTTTAATATTGTAAGTAAATTTTTTTTCCTTTTTAGATATACCTAACGTAAATATATTTAAAAAGTAAAAAATTTATTAAAAATACTTTCAAAAATTCACTAAATACCAAAAATATAAAAAAAAAATACGAGAATTCAATACATTTTTTGTATTTTATGTATTTATTAATTTTTTAAAATATTTTTTCATAAATTTTTTACTTTTTAAATACATCTAAATAAGGTGTATCTAAAAAAGTAAAAAAAAAATGTTAAAAATGTTAAAAATATTCATTAAAAACAAAAAAATATGAAAAATTAAAAAACTCAAATTTTTAAAAATTTAATCCAAAAAACTCAAATTAAACACACTAATTATTATTTCTTCGGGTTATGAGAAACTCATGGATTTGTTGATTAATTTGTTTTTGGAAGTCTAATTCTGGGAAATTTGACTGGGTATATGTTAGAATTGTATAATAATTGTCAAGCTGTAACTGTTATATAGATCTGGTCACAGTCTGGGGAATTGCTTTACTCTTTCAACTTCTTGAAATAGTATTTTTCTCCTGCTAAAAATTGTTGAATTTAGCATTTTCATGACTTGGGTTGTTTTTCTCAAATATAAAATAGAGTTGTGATATGTAGCTTGAAAAGTCCCTCCCGAATCGCCCAAATTTGAACGAAGAGGGAAGAAGAAGGGAAGGAAGAAGAAGGACAGGGGGCCAACATCAACCGGGCTGGGCAGGGGGCGGAGGCAGAGGCGGAGGCGGGGCCACACTTTTCTAAAAACACTTTTTAAAAAATTTTATTTTCTTATTTTTTACATTTTCTTATTTTTACTAAATTTTTTTAATATTGTAAGTAATTTTTTTTTACTTTTTAGATATACCTAACGTAAATATATTTAAAAAGTAAAAAATTTATTAAAAAAACTTTCAAAAATTCACTAAATACCAAAAATATATAAAAAAAAATACGAAAATTCAATACATTTTTTGTATTTTATGTATTTATTAATTTTTTAAAATATTTTTTTACAAATTTTTTACTTTTTAAATACATCTAAATAAGGTGTATCTAAAAAAGTAAAAAAAAATGTTAAAAATTTTAAAAATATTCATTAAAAACAAAAAAATATGAAAAATTAAAAAACTCAATTTTTTAAAAATTTAATCCAAAAAACTCAAATTAAACACACTGATTATTATTTCTTAGGGTTATGAGAAACTCATGGATTTGTTGATTAATTTGTTTTTGGAAGTCTAATTCTGGGAAATTTGACTGGGTATATGTTAGAATTGTATAATAATTGTCAAATGCTGTAACTGTTATATAGATCTGGTGGTCACAGTCTTGGGAATTGCTTTACTCTTTCAACTTCTTGAAATAGTATTTTTCTCCTGCTAAAAATTGTTGAATTTAGCATTTTCATGACTTGGGTTGTTTTTCTCAAATATAAAATAGAGTTGTGATATGTAGCTCGAAAAGTCCCTCCCGAATCGCCTAAATTTGAACGAAGAGGGAAGAAGAAGGGAAGGAAGAAGAAGGACAGGGGGCCAACATCAACCGGGCTGGGCAGGGGGCGGAGGCAGAGGCGGAGGCGGGGCGGAGATGATCGTCCGAGCTGCGACGATCTGTGACGATCGGAGACGAGTTACGACGAGTGATCTTCCCCTCCTCTTTCTCTTCTCCTCTCTTCTCTCCCTCTTTCTCTTCTCTCCCTCTTCCCCTCCATTTTCAGATTGCATAAAGAAAAAACAAAAACAAAAACGGCCCAAAACGACGTCATTTTGGGCAGTCGGGGGATTCGGGGGGACGAAATTCGGAGGGAAAATCATTTTTGTATGAAATATTGGATCATCAATTGCCTGTATGTGTTCTTATAATCTAATAGAAGCAAACAAAACTAAGCCTTGAATGTTGTTCAAAAAAAAAAAAAAAAACCTAAGCCTTGAATCCTAATCAAGTGGAGTCGGCTACATGAAGGGTGTGTTTGGTTTGTATTTTGAGATAAATTTTCAAAACAAATAATTGGGGAGAGTATAAAATTTTTTTTGATTTGTTTGATTGTATATTTTGAAAATAGTTTTCAAGTTTGGGAGTTTGGGATGATTTAATATTTTGTTGTAATTGAATAGATATGTGTGAGAGAAAAAGTGATTGAAAATGAGAGAGGAGAGAGAAAAACTAATTGATTGATGTGTAATAGAAAGAAAAATAATTTTAATTTTTTTTTTTTGAGAAAATTTGTAACCAAATATACTTTTGAAAATTTTCTTTCAAAAATATGTTTCAAAACACAAACCAAAGGCACCCTTCGTATTTTTTACCATTGCGCCCTAACAAATAAATTAATATAATTTTTTATTATCTTTCAATGTCAGTTTTAAGTATTCTTTTCCCAAGAATTTATTTTCATTTAACATTTTGAATATATGATGGCTGTGGTTTGAGGTGTGCAAACCATGAATGAATGAAAGATGTAGCTGTTCATGCCTATCTGACAGACCAATTCAAGATGAATTACAAAAGGAAAAGGCAACATCATGCTTATCTGTTCAGATTCCCAGTTAACCATTTTTGGAATCTATAGTTATGTCTATCTACATATTATATAATGAAAAGAAAAGTTCTAACTCACAAGTTTTGTGCGAGTTTTAATATCTTAATTTTAATTTTTAAAATTTTTGATTTAAAAAAAAAATATTAATATTTATTTATTTTTTTCAATCCACGTGCCTTTTGAGAGATTTGGTCAAAATTTCCTCATTAATATTTATTAACTTTTTCCAATTCACATACCTTTTGAGAGATTTTCTATTATAAAATATATATATAAATAATTATAAATAAAACTGCTGCGTCTTATATATAAATAATTATAAATAAAACTGCTGCGTCTGGTGAAACACTTGTCATGTTTATCAGAATTTATGATTTTGGTGAAGGCTTCGAGAAGCATAATATGCGTACTTTAATATTTTACCTATTAAATGGACAAAATTGGATGATTTTGTTACTTCTTTTTTTTTTTTTTTTTTTCAAAACCATAATTAATGAGCAGTAGTGGTGGCAGGGCCGGCCCTGAGTGGTGGTTCTGGGTCCAATCATTCAGGCGGTGAAAACTCATTGCCACCACTTTCCCCTGCCATGTCTTTAGGTTTTGCGACGAGCACATTCTCGTATGATGAATTGGCAATGGCAACGGATGCATTTTCAGAAGCCAACCTCCTTGGACAAGGTGGTTTTGGGTATGTGTACAAGGGAGTCCTTCCAAATGGAAAAGAAGTCGCCGTTAAGCAGCTGAAAGCTGGAAGTGGTCAGGGAGAGCGTGAATTTCAAGCTGAGGTTGAGATCATTAGCAGAGTGCATCACAAACATCTTGTTTCATTAGTTGGATATTGTATCACCGGGTCCCAAAGAATGCTAGTTTACGAGTATGTTCCAAACAACACCATGGAGTTTCACTTACATGGTGAGTGTTCCTTTCATTACTAAATTACAGAGGCAACTACTTTATCTTCATGCTTATCTGATTTTCTATCTACTGTTGCTTTTACAAATATATATATATATTTTTTAATTTTTGAGTATGGTAAGGGCCTAAGGGGTTGGTTGAATTCTCAAGTCTGCTAGTAATTATTGTTTAGTGGTTCTTACTTTTAAATTTGTATGTATATTTTCTGAACAATCCTTCTCAATAAACAATAGAATATTAATTAACTCTAGTTGCCAAATGTACTTGAGTTATGAGTCCTACGTATAATTTATTGTCTAAGAACCGGTTGAGCTGATGCTGGATGCTTCTGGTAAAATTGATTCTGATATAGAAAATAAAACGTTTCAGGAAAGGGAAGACCTACCATGGATTGGTCCACAAGATTGAGAATTGCTCTAGGGTCTGCTAAAGGACTGGCCTATCTGCACGAGGACTGTAAGTTCTCTTCATACATATACTTGCTTCTCGTTTTAGAAGCAAGAAGCAACTCTTTAGCATAAGATACCGGGGTTAATATATTTTTTTAATTGAATTTTTTTTATTTGCAGGCCATCCTAAGATCATACATCGTGACATTAAGGCAGCTAACATACTTCTGGATTTTCACTTTGAGGCAATGGTAAGATTTCCTTGTACGCATGGGTCAAGAATCATTAAATTTCAATTTGCATCTTTGAAGTATGCCATAATAAATCCAAGAAAAACAGAGTTTTTTCCCCTTTCTGTATGAGATATGATTGGTGAGATTTGTCAGTTATGGGTGCAAGGAGTGGAATGAACATTTTTAATCACAAGTGACAGACAAACAATTTCAAACCACTGATTAGGTTGTCCAAACTTTGTATTAGTGGTGATTGTTGTCATTAAGTCTGTAACCTGAAATTTTTTATGCTCTTCTCAGGTCGCAGATTTTGGACTTGCAAAGCTTTGTTCTGATGTCGACACTCACATATCCACTAGGGTGATGGGAACTTTTGGGTAAGGCCTACCTCTTATGTCTAAGGTTCAAATAATTGATTCTGTCAATAATTGATTCTTTTGGGTTGTTAGAATAGTAGAGAAAGATGAAATAATATGTATTGTATTAAATAATATTGTTCTATACAATAGAAAGCCTGTATATATAGGTTGAGAAAGAATATCCTACTAGAAATTTAACTATGAGAAAAAGTATCCTATAAGAGACCTAATTATGGCAATACCTAATATATCTAGGAAATCAATACCTAATATATGTAGGAATATATATCATATATACATTAACATCCCCCCTCAAATTCAAGGAGGATAAACATCTTGAGTTTGGAGAGAGAAACTAACACATGAAATAAAACTAAATAAAATAAAAGGCAAATAGATAGCGAAATCTAAACAGGAGCGCAAGGGCATTTGAAATAGATTAGAGGCCGGAACTAAAGCCATGAGACAGTTTATGGTTGTGTCGGACCATTGTAGGAATTGGCTGAAACTAATGCCAAGGCGATTTAAAGTCGTGCCAGACCGATATAGAAATTGGCTAGAACTAATGCCCAGAGACAGTTTATGGTTGTGTTGGACCATTGTAGGAACTAGTTGGAACTAATGCCAGGACAGTTTAAAGAGGTCATACCGGACCGAGGTAGGAGTTAACCGGAATCAATGTCGAGATAGTTTACGGGGTCATGTCGGACCGTTGTAGAGATGGATGTTGAACTAGCAAGCGTGGCACACATATAACTTATGACGTGGTGTTGAACAATGATGGCAATAGATAACTGAGTGCGCCAGGAGACGGCTTGGGTGGTGTGCTAGAGGGCGAGTTTGGTGGTGCGCCAGAGGAAGCGGCTTGGATTGTGCGTCAGAGAAGGGTGGCTTGGGTTGTGTGCCAGAGAGTACGGCTTGGATTGTGTGCCAAAGGAGGTAGCTGGGTGGTTTGAATGGTGTATAATCATGTTCACCATGATATAGGTATAACACCCCCCTTCAAACTCAAATAGGTTTGAAGATAGAAACCAATTTGAGATATTTGGGGTAGGAATAAACCAACGAATAAAGGAAGAGATCACCACGAAGCGATACTGAAAGAAAAACATGACAACGGAATAGGTTGAGGTCTGACAGGCGGCCAAAGTGAGGCTGCCGTCTGCCAGTGAAGCAAAATTACTAAGTTCTTAACCTAGCTCTAATACCATGTTAGAATAGTAGAGAGAGAGAGGAAATAATATGTATTGTATTGAATGAATGAATTGTATTGAATAATATTGTCCTATACAATAGAAGTCCTGTATATATAGGCAGAGAAAAAATATCCTATTAGAAATCTAACTATGAGAAAAAGTATCCTACAAGAAACCTAACTATGGCAATACCTAATATATCTAGGAAATCAATACCTAATATACGTAGGAATATGTACCATATATACATTAACATGGGTGATGGGAGCTTTTCAGTTGTTTCTGTCAATAATTGATTCAGTTATTGTTATCTCATTCTGGATGCTTTGTTTTCATTTCCAAGATTCAATTTCTCATTCCATTTTGATAATGGCAAAGGTATTACAATGTTTTCCACACTAGTTCTTACTAAAATATCATTCACATTCTAATAATAAGCTCACCACTTCTAGATACCTGGCTCCGGAATATGCTTCTTCTGGGAAACTTACACACAAGTCTGATGTTTTCTCATTCGGAGTTGTGCTTCTAGAGTTAATTACTGGACGCCGACCTGTTAACTCATCTCAATCTTACGCAGATGATAGCTTCGTAGACTGGGTGAGCAATTACATCAAAACCACTAAATCTCTTTCCACTCTGATAAAAGGCTTTTATTTTGTTTGATTTACTTTTCACATTTTTTGGTTTTTTTTTCTAAGTCTAACAAAATTATCTTTGTTGTAGGCGCGGTCTCATTCGGAGTCGTGCTTCTAGAGTTAATTACTGGACGCCGACCAGTTAACTCATCTCAATCTTACGCAGATGATATCTTGGTAGACTGGGTGAGCAATTACATCAAAACCACTAAATCTCTTTCCACTCTGATAAAAGGCTTTTATTTTGTTTGATTTACTTTTCACATTTTTTGGTTTTTTTTCTAAGTCTAACAAAATTATCTTTGTTGTAGGCGCGGCCCTTGCTCACACAAGCTTTGGAAGATGGAACTTTGATACGCTTGTTGATCCACAGTTGCAAAGGGATTACAGACCCAACGAGATGGCTTGTATGGTTGCTTGTGCTGCTGCTTGTGTGCGTCATTCAGCACGGTGTCGACCACAAATGAGCCAAGTAAGATTTGGGGTTTATTTTGCAACAGTCATGATAGAAACCCCCACAAAACACAACCCCAAAAATGATCTGGACCATTCATGTCACTGTCAGAGTTAGGAAAAAATACATCAATGGTCAATACATCAGTGGGGGTCGTGGGGGTCCTCCTTTGTGGGAGTCCCAAACATTTTACTATTTGCAATATAGTAAAACTAAAAAATTCCTGTATCTTATGCAAATTGGTTGATCCCAATGGAGCCAACAAGTTATGAATCCATTATGGCATATCGATATTATGGAATGGTTCTTCAATTATAGATTTTACCATTCCATACTACTTACGTCACTTGCAAGTGGAAGTCAGGCCTGGAATTTAATGCATTGTCTTGGTTGAGACCTTTAAGACACAAAGCTATGAATGATCTGATCTACAAATTTCGAATAATTTGATTCTGCTTCCCAAGGTTGGTGTATCTTGCACCATAACACTTGAGTCCCATGTCGTGTTACCTAAGAAGCACGAACACTTCTAAGTTACGTGTTCTTGTCCGACGCTGATGCTCATTTGACACTTCCTGACATGCATCGGACACACATGATGAAACATATATTTGAACAAAATAACTTAAAGGAGACAATGACATAAGAAAAACAATATAAATTTATATGTATTAGTCCCTGCTCCTTTTAAATTAAGAAATTAATATTATGTTGTATTTTTTATTATTTTGGAATGAAATATTCATATATGTGATATATAATAAACATATAAAATTATATATTTTGTGCATGTCCACCATATGTCATGTCCTATATTTTTTTTATGTTGATGTGTCAGAATGGCCGTAGATTGCAAGATTCTTGCTTTTAACTTAGATGTGCTATATGTAAGCTAACTCCTAACCGATAAGCATAACTCAAATTGTGCAGGTAGTGCAGGCCTTCGAAGGAGACGTATCTTTGTCTGATCTTAACGAAGGAATCAAACCCGGACACAACACAGTCTACAGTTCTCGTGGCATCTCAGACTATGACACTAGCCAATACAATGAGGACATGAAAAAATTTAGGAAGATGGTTTTGGGAACCAGAGAGGATGGAAGCAACGAGAACAGTGCACTAACTAACGAATATGGATTGTATCCATCTAGTTCGAGCAGCGGAGGCCAACAAACCACTCGAGAAATGGAGATGGGAAAGATGTGTGGGAGATAATTTCGATAATAATCAATTAAAGCAAATAAAAAAAATAAAGTAAACAACAAAATTAAACCTTATAGTAATTCTATAGATAGTTTATGAACAAATTTGTGATTGAGACTAGTGTATGAACACTGTGTCTTTAAGACATAATTTCATCTTCTTCAATGGTGCTTGAGAATAATGGACGCACTATCTCTAGGATACAACAATCACCACAAACGAAGAGAGCACACTTTTTGATTGTACTGCGAACCAAAATTATATTTTGCACTCAAAAAATTCAGACTCATGCAGATGAAGAATACAAGAGGAATGCTTGAACTTGAGGAAGTTGGAATGAAAAAAATTGGAATGGGGGCTACCTTTATATAGGCTTGTTGGTACCTGTTCAGTTTGAACAAAAAAGGCATGAAAAAGTGACATGACCCTTCTGTAAAATAAAAAGACACCATGAAAGGATTGCATCCTTTTATTTAAAGGAAGGGTTGCACCCTTTCATTAAAATGGAGTTTATTTCAATACAACGTTGCCTTTATAAATTTTTCAACAATTCCCCACATGAATGAAATTGACGTAACAAGAAATGCAACAACATGCAAACTATGTGAATACAAATCTGGAAATATCCTGCATAGGATAGGTAGCTTTTGACCTTGAACCTTCTTTTATAAAAGACTATCAGATTTACTGGCTGATCAGTGAACATGATGTATTGAATTGCTCTGCCATTGGTGTAAATCGAGACAATAGCCTATCACACAGTTTTATTTTCATACGCAACTTGATTCTATCGGTTGTGTCTATTTTGGCTCTGGACAATTCCTAGATTCATGAGTGCTCTAGAGAATTTAGCCTTTTCAATTTTCATAGACCGACCCAGTTCACATTCATATAGGTGATTCTCATTAAAAGCATCATGCTATAACCCACTTGAATTTCCAAGCTATGAGTCTCATTACAAGCAAAGCTTAACTTATTTATTGTTACTGGTAATCGCTATTTCATCATAGAAATGTGTAAAAGTTTTAATCCTTAGTGGTACTAATGAGTTATTCTTAATTCAGTTGTTCCTTTGAACTTAGATTTTGGGATCTCCAATCAATTAGGTTGGGTTTCCATTAAGATAACTCTTAAGTGACAGGCTTTAATCCCATTCCCCTCGATGATCGCAACACTTGCTCTCTGGTCAAAGCCTTTGTCAACGGATTCGCTAATGTTTTCTTTTGACTTTATAAACTCAATGGAAATTATTCCATTAGAGAACAGTTGCCTAACAGTGTTATGTCTACGACGAATGTGACGAGACTTCCCATTATATATATGATTCTGTGCCCTAGCCATTGCGGTTTGACTATCACAATGAATACAAATCATTGGCACAACTTTCAGCCATATTGGATTATCTTCTAAGAAATTACGAAGTCATTCTGCTTCTTCTTCTGCTTTGTCTAAAGCAATAAATTTAGATTCCAATATGGATCTAGCTATGCAAGTTTGTTTAGAAGATTTCTAAGTGACCGCTCCACCTCCCAAGGTAAAGACATATCTACTAGTGGATTTAGAATCCTTAGTGTCATATATCCAATTAGCGTCGCAATACACTTCTAGGACTGCTGGATATCTAGTATAATACAGTCCATAGTCATGATTTGCACACTTTCTTCTCTTTGCTTGGAATGACAAAACCTCCTGGTTGTTCCATGTAAATTTTTTTATTCAGATCACCATTCAAGAATGCAGTCTTTACATCCATTTGATGATCTCTAGATTATTTAAAGCAACAATTGCAATTAACATTCTAATAAATGTGATCCTTGTTACGGGTGAATAGATATCGAAGTAATCCACTTATTTAGTTTGCCTATAACCCTTGACCACAATTCTTATTTTGTATTTGTCAATTAATCTATTCGGCTTCATTTTCCTTTTGAATATCCATTTATATCCAAGAGGTTTACAACCTGGTGAAAGATCTGCCAATTTCCAAGTATGATTTTGTAGAATGAATTCAATTTCACTGTTAATAGCTTCTTTCCATAAAAGAGCTTCCGGAGTTGACATTGCTTCTTTGAAAGTTCAAGGCTCTTTCTCAAGTAGAAATGTTAAGAAGTCAGGACTAAAAGTTTCTCAATTCTAGCCCTTTTACTTCGTCTAGGTTGTTCGTTGAACTCTCCTCCTTGGTTTTCTTTAACCAATTCTTGACTATTGTCAAATGCAATATCTTGAGTCCGTTTAGGAATAATAATCACTTGAGCAGATTTGCAAGGAAAAATATTTTTGAAAAATGAAGCATTCCTTGACTCAATAATTGTATTAACATGGACCTTCGAGTTGTCACTTTTATGTACAAAAATCGATAAGCGCTACTGTTGTTTGCATATCCAATAAATACACAATCAATTGTTTTAGGACCAATCTTGACCTTTTTATGGTCTAGTAATGCTATCTTAGTCAAACACCCCCACACATTTAAAATAAGGCTTTCGGCCTTTCCATAATTCATAAAGTGTTTGAAAGGTTTTCTTGTGAGCTATTTTATTCAAAATATAATTGGCAGAAAGAACAGCTTCCCCCTACAAGTTCTGAGGTAGTCCCGAACTTATTAACATAACATACATCATTTCTTTTAAAGTTTGCTTTTTCCTCTCAACAACTCCATTTTGCTGAGGTGTATAAGGCGCAGTAGTTTGATGCACAATTCTGAGTTGTGAACATAAGTCACCAAAAAGGTGCATCATGTTCACCACCTCTATCACTTCTTAACGCTTTGATTTTTCTGCCTAATTATAATTTAACCTCATTCTTATATTGAATGAATTTTTCCAAGACTTCATCCTTACTTCGTAGCAAGTACATAGCAATATCTAGTGCTATCATCAATAAAAGTAATAAAATATTTTTTGCCACCCCGGGTTTGAACAAATTTCAAATCACAAATATCACTATGGACTAAGTCCAGTGGCTCAGTTTTCCTTTCAATTGATTGAAATGGTGCTTTAGTTAATTTTGCTTCAACACACACTTTACATTTGTGATTTGAATCAATTTGAAATTTAGACAAATAATCTAGGTAAATTAGTCTTCACAAAGTATCATGATTTACATGACCTATCTTCCATGCCACACACAAGAAGACCCAAGCAAGTAAGCAAAAGATGTGTTAATTTTATTAAACTTTGGAACAACAGTCATTACATTAAGTTTAAAGAGCCCATCACTCATGTACCCATTTCCTACATACATTCCGTTTTTGGTAAGTACAAACTTATCAGACTCAAACACTAATTTAAATCCATTCTTGCTCAGCAACAATCCAGAAACTAGGTTCTTTTGAATATCTGGTAAATACAACACATCTTTGAGAGTGAGTTCTTTGCCTGACATCATCTTTAGCACCACGTTCCCTTGTTCCTCAACTTTGGAAGTCGAAGAATTCCGCATGTAGAGTTATTCTCCATCTTCTGCTACTTGATATGATGAGAACATTTTTTTCTTGGAACAAATGTGGCGAGTAGAGCCTGTGTCCATCCACCATGCTTTGGGGGTTATCCACTAAATTGACTTTAGACACGACACCAGATACATTCAGGTGCGAAACCATTGCACAAAGACTCTTTTCTTCAGTTAAGTTAGCTTGAGCAGGTTTTTTTTCTTGTAGTTCCCTTGAGTCCTGCTCTTGTGACAATCCTTGGCACAATATCCCATTTTGCCATTAAAATTCTGTCTGTCACCACTTTTAACACCTTGCTTAGAGCTCTCTCTAGGATGCTTCCTTTTCTTATTGTTGAACTTTGGCTTATGTTCCACAATGTTTGCCTTGGATTCCATGAGATGATGTTCATTTTTCTTTTCAGAACCACGATTATGCTCTTCAATCCACAAGCGAACAATCAAATCCTCTCATGATATCTCTTTGCATTTATGTTTTAAATAGTTTTTGAAACCCCTCCAAGTCGAAAGTAATTTTTCAATAATAGCTGTCACTTAAAAAGATTCGCTCAGAGACATTCCTTTTGCATGAATTTCATGCAGGATGGCTTGAGCTTCTTGGACTTGATTGATCACTATTTTGTAATCCGCCATCTTAAAATCAAGGAAGCAACCGACAACAAATTTCTTTGTTCCGGCATCTTTTGTTTTATATTTGCGATCAAGCGAATCCCACAATGCTTTTGCGGTCTTGATTGGACTATACACATTGTATAATGTGTTATCCAATCCATTTAGGATATAGTTCCTGCAGGAAAAATCTGCATGTTTCCATGCATCCACTGTTGCAACAACTTGTGCATCACTTTCATTCTCACTAAGAGATCGAGCATCTTCTCTCAAAAACCTTGTCAAATTTAAGGTGGTCAGATAAAATAACATTTTTTGTTGCCAACGCTTAAAATCTATACCACTAAATTTTTCAGGTTTTTCCCCATGATTGACGGAACATGACCATGTCCAACAACTGTTGGAATGGAAGCAACCGGTGTAGACACAACGGGTGTAGGGGCAGTATTTCCTAGTGTAACATTACTTTCTGTAGCCATTTTTGATTAACAAAAAAATTTCCTTTTTTTTTTTTTTTTTATGTTAAACAGAAGATTCCACTATATATATATAACCATAAAAATAAATTTATATATACACAATAAACTTCACAATACCATAATAATATGTGGATAGATAAGTAGGGATAATATGGTTTTTCAAATTATTTTGGCCACTAAAGTTTCTAGATTATGTTTATGTGTGCATTTGGATACAATTATACAAATTAATAACCATCACTACTACAAAAAAAGTTAAAAATCACACTTTGAGGGAAAAAAAAAAATCTCACTTTTATTGGAAGTGTGATAAAAAAAATTAGATTGATATTTTTATCACACTTAATTTGATTGAGTATGATAATATTTATTTTTTATCACTTTTATAGCGATCCTGATTTTACCTTCATTGTTTAATTGTAATATATGACAACTTTTCAAAGATTATGCATGATTATACTAGATTCATCTCAT